GAAACAAGAGGAACAGAGACACACAGACAGAGCAGAACATAAGAATGACAAAAAACGAGTGGAGACAAAAAAAGTACACTAAATACACAGGCAGAGAGAGAAAACAAAAAAACCCAGAGAGAGAGAAAAAGATAAACTTGGAACTTCCCCGTAGAAGTGGTTCAATCTTAAATTAGAGCTTATGGTGTGTGTTAGTGGTGGTACGTTAGTGGTGGTGGTGTTCGTGGTGGTGTGTTAGTGGTGGTACGTTAGTGGTGGTGTGTTAGTGGTCGTGGGGTTGTTGTTAGTGGTCGTGCTAGTGGTGGGGTTGTTGTTAGTAGCAGTGGCGGCTGGTGATATTTATTTTTGGGGGGGCGCATTTTTTTTTATTTTATTGAGGGGGGCAAATAAATATAAAGCAGTACCAAAAACCATTTTGACTACTTTAATATAAATTTTGATGATCTTTATTTACATTTCAGACCAAAAGAAGTACCAAAAAGCATGTTTCCTACTTGAACATAAATGTTTCTCTTTTATATACATTTCAGACCAAAGTACCAAAAAGCATGTTTCCTACTTGAACATAAATGTTTCTCTTTTATATACATTTCAGACCAAAGTACCAAAAAGCATGTTTCCTACTTGAACATAAAAACGTTAGTTTCATGCTATTATCAATATGGCTGCGGCTACTTTCATGACGTTTGCATTTGTCAGAGAGATGTTTGAGGTCTCTTACCCCCGTCGTTGTCCACAAAACTTCAGTGCCGACACTTTGAAATAAAAGACAGGGAAAACAAAAAAGAGAATTGCTAACATCACATCCAGCCAGCCACCTCCGTTTCTCATAACAAGCGCGGGTGAAGCTTCGTGTGTAGCTTCGTCCTCTGTCACTGGCCTGCTGCTGGATTGTAAATCGGGTTGGTCCGGTCCGAGATCCTTTATCTTTTTTATTTCTTCCAGCGAAAGCCTTGTGAAAGGGTTTTTTTGTAAATAAATTACAGAATTTGGATGAACTGCTGCCATTGTTTACACAAAAAATTTGATCAGCCTAGCAAGTGTCAAAGTGGTGTCGCCTTCGCACTCGCAGTAGTGGCCTACAGCGTAAATTTGAATGACAGGTGACGAGAACCAATCAGATTGGATAAAATAACATGTATCCAATTCTGATTGGCCAGGGACGCAACGACTTGCGCCCCGAGGAGAATCTTTAAGAAACCAATTAGAGACCAGCTTCAGGTCACATGCTGTCCGAAAATGTAAAGTCTCACATAGACATCCATTTGTCCGGCGCCCCGCATGAAACACATTGAAAAACATAGAAAATAGTTGACCGATTAAAGCCAGTTTTTATTAAATGCTGATGCTTTTCTTACTACCAGCCGGCACATCGTATGAAAAAAATATTTTATTTATGTATTTTTATATAAATTTTGTATACGTATATTTCTAGAATATTGATGGGGGCGGCGCCCCTGCGCCCTCTATTGACGAGCCGCCACTGGTTAGTAGTGGTGGGGTTGTTAGTGGTGGTGTTAGTAGTGGTCTGTTTTCGTGGACGTGTTAGTGGAGGGAGGGGGGCATAGGGGGGGGAAGGTGCTGAGGGGGAGGAGCTCCGGACTGTTACATCACGGAGGGCGTGGTTTCCTGGCCCCGCCCCCCACGTGCCTCTGGCAGTTTGGGCGAAAGGCGGCGATCGAGAGGCGCGGAGAGACGACATCGTGCAGCAGCTGAAGCCATCGGAGCGAGCCTCGACGAGGTGAGGATTATGTGAGGGTGTGAGTCCGTGTCGTGGGTTCGCGGTGAGGGTGTCAGTCTGTGTTGATGTGGGTTCATGGTGAAGATGTGAGTCAGTCTTGGTTCTTTCGGTAAAGTCACGTAGAAGGGAAGTAATAAAAGAATAAAAATAAAACATAATAAAATACAATTCTCACGACGTTTCGGCCACAACGCAAGCAGCCGTCCTCAGGTGAAGACCAGGTCTGTCGGGGAGACAGCGTCTGAATGAAACACCACCACGCTTGGAGCGTATATTTAAGCTGGGTTGGAAGGGGGGAAGGGCGCCTTGACAAAATAATTTGCATATCAAGAGGAATTTAGCATATTTATGGGAAATGCAGGTATGTGATTAGTACTCCTTGTGAAATGCGTAGGAGGTGGGCAGGGGGTTTTCAAAGTCATATTATGCCTGTGCATTATGCAGGATTAGCAGCATCAAAGGGAGGGGATAGGGGTAGCATTAATAAAGGGAAGGAATGTTAATAGTATGTAGCTGCAGTAACTAAACAACCACGTAAAAAACTAAAGTATAAACTACATAGTATCATCAGTATACTAAATATATTTTCTTAATTATTTTATTACTTCCCTTCTACGTGACTTTACCGAAAGATCCAAGAAGACGAATCCCTGCAGTCACGAAAGCTTTAATTCGAAATGTGAGTCAGTGTTGATGATGTGGGTTCATGGTGAAGATGTGAGTCTGTGTTGGTTACGTGGATTCGTGCCGATTGTGGGTTATTGCTGATGATGTGGTTTCATGTTGAGTGTATGAGTCCGTATTGATGATACGAGTCCATGATATTTACGTAGGTTAATGGTCATGATGTGAGTCCATATTGTTTCTGTGGATTCGTGGTGATGGTGTGAGTCCGTGCTGATGATGTGAGTTCGTGCTGATGATGTGAGTTCGTGTTGATGTGAGTCCGTATTGATGAGGCAAGCCCATGTTATTCATCTGGGTTTATGGTGATGTATGTATGTTGAACTTCTTTCGCACAGTACATAGCCAACCGTGCTGATCAGAGTCGGTGTTGATGATGTGAGTCCGTGCTGTGACCTGATTCGTGTTGTGACATGGGAACCAGTTACGTCCCACACCCTCGACTCTGAGTGACCCTCTCCTCTCTCCCCTGCACTCCACCGCTCTCCACGCAGAGACCCGGACGACGCCAGGAACGACGTGAGCTCTGTACACAACGCTGCTCTGCAAGTCACTGCCATGGAGGTAAGTGTGGGTCCCTCGACTCGCGCGGTGAAGTATGAGGTGAACGTGTGTTCTCCACTCTCCATCCATGTGCCTGTTGCCTACCTGTCTACCTGGGTGTGCATCTGCTTGCCTACCCGTGTGTATGTGTGTGTTTCTATCAGAATGTCTTTCTGAGATCCTGTCTGTGTACCTGCCTGTCTTCTGCCACTCCGTTATTGTCTGCCACTTCGTTATTATTCTTCACGATCAACCAATCAACCATCACCATCCCTTCTGGCCGTGGCGTGTCCTGGCCCAGCCCCACTCAGTTTTCTTAACATTTTGAATGATCCCATTAACCTGTGTGTCTTCCAATCCACGTGTTCCTCTTTCTGTCTCAATGTAAATCCAGGTGTGGCATCTTGATATCAGACAAACATCCCAATGCTGAGATTTGACATCAGAATCAAAATCTTTATTTAGACTGTAAGAATCCAATGACATACGAAGCTTGTTTTCACAGATGTCCAGTATGGGAGGGTCAGCAAGTTACAACAGAAAACAATATAAAACAATAGGAGTGCAAAGTAGAAAAATGGAAAGCAAGTCAGTAACTTTAAATCAATAATTAATTATACAAGTCTTATTTATCAATATTGGGAAACCATATTCTTTGGGTCTTTCGGTAAAGTCACGTAGATAGGTTCAAATTCAAAATAAATAAACAAAAAATGACGACGTTTTAATCATAACACAAGCGATCGTCATCAGGAGAAAAACAGAGGGGGAAAGCTGCTCAAAGCAGACTGTTTTAAAGGTTTAAAATGGGTGTAGCCACGTACCATCGGCTCTGCGATCTTACATTAACATGCTAATCTCTCATATTAACATCACTAGCCCCGCCCACTTCGTTTATGACCCTTGGGCTTGCACCCATTTTGAACTTTTAAAGAAGTCTGTTTTAGCAGCTTTCCTCCTCTGTTTTCTTCCTGATGACGATCGCTTGTGTTGTGATCGAAACGTCACGTTTTTTCTTTTAATTTGAACCTATCTACGCGACTTTACGGAAAGACCCAAAGATTATGAATTCCTGCAATCACGAAAGCTTTAAGTCAAGATTTAATATTGGGAAAGGCAGCAAAAACAACAACAAAGCAGTCCTCAGCCACACCAATATATCACATAGCCCATCAATAAACTTGCACATTAACTTTGAACTATCAGCAGGACCCTCCTGAATGTGGAGCCCAGATATCATCGGTGCTTGCTCAGTACTCACCTACTGCACTTAACTCAACACCTTGTTGAATCCTATGTGGGGAACCTTTGTCTTTGTGTAGATGAGCAACGCTGAAGGTGGAAGAAATGGCGGGTCTTGCGACACTGCGGTTACTTCCTCCATCCGGAGAAGATCACCCAAAGGTAATAATAGTCATGTGAGACGTAACAGTGTCCATGTTGCAGGGGTGATGTCATGTCGACTATGTTGCATGGATGATGTCAAGGTGGCCATGTTGCATGAGGAACATCATGGTGGCCATGTTGCATGGGGGGGGGATATGTATTTTTCTGCTGATTAGCAGCTGAATGACTGATACAGTGAGAGTGATAATGTAGAGCCTAGCAGTCGCTCTTTTGGAAGCTAGAGTTTGGAGTTAACTAGAACTCCCATATTTACTTTGATCTCTTTTCTCACATGATGGTTACAATAATTGTTCAATCCTAGTCTGCCAGACTTTCTACAAACTGATTATTATCTATGCACTGGCCTCAGTACTGTAACAACAAAAACACATCAATAGCCACATAGGCCAGTATGGCATCACAACTTTACGTGGCAGGGTGGAAGCATAACGGCAACACTCATGTCTCACAGCAGGAAGGTCCTGGGTTTGATTCCTGATTCGAGCACCTTCCTGTGTGTAGTTTCTATATTCTTCCCCAGTTCTGAAGAACGTGAGGGAGTGAGAGTGTGTGTGAGTGTGTGTGTGGGCATATGGGTATCCCAGTTTCATCCCATCGCTACAAAAATAACCACACAATGTATTGGCCAAAACATTCCAATCCTGAAATATTTACCTGACAAATTCCTCAACTTAGGATCACACATATCAGCACCAGCACTGCTCCCATTCTGCAAAAGGATCTGCAGGAACCTCCTGAAAAGGAATCTTGAGACTGAGTGAGGCTGTCCTATATAAAACGCGCTTCGATGATAAAATATCACGTACAGTTCTTCTTGGTTCTTTCGGTAAAGTCACGTAGAAGGGAAATAATAAAATAATAAAAATACAACATAATAAAATACAATTCTCACGACGTTTCGGCCACAACGCAAGCAACCATCATCAGGAGAAGAACAAGTCTGTCGAACAGACGCTGTCTTTTTATTATTTCCCTTCTACGTGACTTTACCGAAAGAACCAAGAAGATGAATCCCTGCAGTCACGAAAGCTTTAAATCGAAATCACTTACATTTATTGTTTTTCTCATGTCCGCAGAAATCCTGGGTCTTATTGGCCCTCAACTAACTCGCCGAGAGAAGGCAGAACTTGCCGCCATGAAAGACATCTGGTACTATACGTTCTACAACGATTCCCGGGGCACCAATAACTATGGCTACGACGACGAAGAGCATAATTACATTCTGGTGAGACTCACAACAAAACACCTACTTGGGGCGGTCACATAACCCAGCAGTAGCAGGGTTCGTGGTTTCTTGTTATTACACCTGCGGTAGCAACCAGGGCGGCTGCCCTGATTGCTACTTCAGGCCTCATTATCATCTTCATCATACACAGCATCATCACGCGCAGTATCTTCACACAGTATAATCACTCACTGCGTGATGACGTGCAGTGTCCTTGCACACAGCATTATCAGACACAGTATGGTCTTCCAACCAAGCATGAAAATTCCCAGCATGACAGAGCTCTCTCTCCTACCAACACACACACAATGAAAATGTATCTTGCTTCAGTTCGTCACAACTGTGAATCAGGTTATTAAATTGTACCCGCGACATTCCTGTCCAACCGAGCACTGAATTAACAGGGGGGGGTGGGGTGAATGAGTGTTGATGATGGAGTTGGTGCCCTCACCCCTGACCTCTGTTTGATTGTCGCTCAGGACCCACATGTGCACCTCAACTACCGTTATGAGGTGCTCAAGACAATTGTGGTGGGAGGTCAAGGCCAGGTCATCGAGTGTCGTGACCACAAGACAAATAACATCGTGGTCGTGAAGATGTTGGTCACACCCTTAAGGTAAGACTCCACAGAGGCACCGTAATGAGGCCATGTGGAAGTGAAACTCATGCCTCACAGCGAGAAGTGGGCCTGGGTTCGACTCCTGAATTGGGCACCCTCCCGTGTAGAGTTTGTATGTTCTCCATCTCTTCTGCATTGGTTCCCTTTGCGTTCTTCAGTTTCTCGTGGCGAGATTTTAACTCCCTCGCCTGGTATGCAGGAGGTCGTGGGTTCATTGACACCTATATATTTGTAGTGATCTCCCCGTGGCAGCATGGATTTTCTTCGGGTCCTCCGGTTTTTTACTCCACATTTAAAAACATGCGTTTAGAGTATTTGGCTGCTACGTGATAAGCCACTTGGTGAAGCTATCATCTGTGGCCATGTCGCCTCTAAAAAATAGCTATATAGGTCAGTGGGCCTTACCTGGTAAAATTTAAAATAGTTTTGTTTAACAGTTTTAGTTTCTTCCTCAAGCTTAAAAAACACATACAGTGTAACTGGTATTGGACCAAACATCCCAATACTCAAAAATCACCTCCACATTACTCAACTACTGTGATTATAAATAACATTGGCCAACTGTGCAACTACTGCAGACTCTGTCAGTGAAACATAGCGCCTTCATTAGTTGTGCTCGCCTTGCAATATCAGACCCACATTCAGAGCCATGGCTCAGCTCGAGCTCAGCTCGAGCTCAGTCTCGAACTCTCACTCTTAGGCTCTGGCTTGAGTCACTTGGCTGCTTTTAAATATGCTTGAGCAGCTCAGCCATAGCTCGGCACAGGCTCAGCTCCTACAAAATCCTGAGCATTCCTTGGACCACGCTCGGAGCCGGCTCAAGTTAATCACAGTCACACATCAGGGAATTACTCTATTCAGGCAGCACCCCAAACCCCCTTCTCTCCCGAGCTAATTTTATCCTCTTCCCAAACCTTTCTGGAACTTTTCATGGTTCTCCACCACCAATCCCTCTTAATTTGTTCAGTCTCTCCCAATTTAACCCCCTTATTTGCATTAAGTTTCCTCTGACGACCAATCTTTGCAGCGGCTTTTGGCTAGCCTTTGAACAAAGAGGGTCACTGCATCTCACGCTTTCAGATGCACTTCTGTGGCCGTCTGGAACGCTCTTCCTTCCGATATTAGAAAGTCACTGAAACTATGTACTTTTAAATCTAAATTGAAAACAAATTTCTTTAGAACTGCTTTTCATCTTAAGTTTGTTGTCCTTCCCACGCATCTCCAATTAGCATGGTTGGCTATGTACAGTGCAAATGAAGTTTAGCATACATATGTACAATCCTATTTGAATGGCTCTCTACCTTCAAATCCAATTGTGTGCCATATGTCGGCCACTTTTCCTGTGATAGCTCCTCGGTAATGAAAGTTGAGCACTTCAAACTCACAAAGCCGTTAGACCCATTGAATGTATATGTATTTATTTATTTCCGAATAGGTGTTACTTCGGGGCATCCTTTACACAAGTCTTAAGTGATTAACTTGTGGACTTCCTCTGTGCAGCTCCACGGATGAAATATTGGAGATGGGGCTCAAGAGGGCTATGGAACGTCAACGCAAGGAATATAACCAGGACTCCAATGTCGTCAAAGTCCTGGATGATTTCACTTTCAGAGGGCACTACTGCATCGTGCTGGAGCTGTTGAAGTACGTACCACATGTTCCCCCATAGCGTGGTTACTTTTGACACTTGTGCCATCGACACATTGTAATACCGTGGCGCTGCCCTGTGTCTGCGAGGCTCAACCAGGACACACACGTGGTTGCACTGGAGGCCCCTCCTCTTTTCTCTATCAACCCTTCCCCTGTTCACCTAGCCACACCCCATTCCATTAGCAGGGTGGTGACAGCGCAGTGGTGACGCTCATGCCTCTCGGCGAGAAGGGCCTTGGTTCGATTCTCAGCTCGGGTGCTTTTCTGTGTTTAGTTTGTGTCTCCCCCCCTGTTCGGGAGAATATATGTAAGGGAGCGGTCGTGTAACAATTAGCACGCTGCACTAGAAACCGAGTGACCCAGGTTCAATTTCCACTCACGGCCAACACCAGTGACAATTATCTGAACCGGTCTTGGGCCTTCTCTAGGTCTCAGCCTCAAATAAGTAGGGATGTGCAAGATGCACGCACCCTGCTCCCATTCCCCAGCTAAGATCAGGTCTACCCCAATCACTACCCCTATCACTACCCTTTCTGCTAGGACCAGGCTGTCTCCAACCCCTATCAATATCATTATCTCTATCACTACCCCTACAGCTACAACCAGACGTACCACAACCCCTCCTTAACCTGTCGCATGTTGTCCTGTCACCATAACCACACCACCACTTTTTACAACCCCACTCTTTATCTAAACCACAATAATGCCATGTACAATTTTTACAAATGCTGGAATGTGCCTTGGAATAAGGTGCAATATAAATCGATATAATATACAAAATATAAGTGGGCAGATGTGCCATCTGATTTGGTTTATCAGAAAATAGACCTAAACCCAAACGGGATTAATGATGAATAATAATATCGGTCGTGAACGTACATGGACAATAGTATTATTGTCCATATCAGAATCAGCATAGCATTGCAGGATCGTACTGACGCTGCAAACATTGTTGTTGTTGCTGCTGCCGCTGCCTCTCTCACAGGGACAGTCTCCAGAAAGTGATTGAAGAAGCAGGGCTCCGGGGCTTGGACATGGCGTTAACTAAAGCATGCACCAGGGAAATCCTCACATTCCTGAAGCATATGGAGTTAAAGGAGGCCGTCCACGCAGCCATCAGGCCAGTAAGTGAACATGGTGTTCAATGCGTCTTTGGAGAAGAGTCGTGTTGTACCTCACAAGGTTCATGTGTTAGGCCTGTCTGTCTATTTGGAAGGAGGCAGGGTCACAGTAAAACTGGTGAAGATGATCCGGTATAAATTATGACTTTAGTGAAGAGGTATGTCTCTATTGGGGACCCACCACAGAGAAAACTGGCCACATTGATCACGGCGTTGGCCAAAACTTGGGAGACATGAACCGGAACTAAAACGACAATTTGCAAAATATACCAAATGCGTGTTTTGACCTGTTGGTTGCCCGTCAGCTTCGATTTTGCGAATGGAAAACTATGAAAGGCAAATGCATGGCGGAAAGCATCACAGAATCCATGCGCGTTGTCGGTGATTTTTCGGGATTCATAAACAGGCACTCGTACTGCTGTGCACTTCATTCAGCTCTACTGTTGGAGCAACGGTGATCAGTTGTCGATAGCACCATCCCCTTTTACTTCGACAATATCTCAGTTATTAACACGCGTAAGCCACTCGCATCTCTCGTCTTAACGAACTTGAAAGGGGCACCCCCAGTGATAGCTGTCAGAAAACAGCGATTGTCGCTGTGACTGATGCTTGGCAAGAGCGCGCCACCTATTCTGATTCCCCTGTTTAATATGTATTGTAGTACATGATCGATCCACTGCTGGCTGAATTCTATCAACATAACCTCTGTGTGTGAATCCCTTCTGCCTCTCTTCTAGAACAACATCATGGTCAAAGACACCGTGGCTGGCACCATTAGGGTCATGGATTTTAAGACCAGCTTTACTGTGGGAAGTCATCGTGAGTGACCTCATCTGCGTGTGCCCAGCCACCGCATCCCCAAGCTGCTTTTGATCAGCCAGATAGATAGGGCTAAACGGGCATTGCACGGGCTAGAGAACAGATTGACTGATGTGGTACAGAAGGATGTGGAGCTGATTGAACTTGCCAATGACTGGTACCAGCAGTGTCAAGATCAGCCTCTATGGAGGCTTGTGAGGGACCCTGCTGGGTAGTTGGAGGCAGTTGCCCTCACAGCATTGAGCGGAGCGCCGGGCGGCTTAAATGTAATGAGGTGGCACAGTGGAGAACACAGTTGGTGCATTTGCCAGTTATCTCAGTCAGTCAACCCATGGCACCTGGGTCTGTTCGGTGACCACCTATCAGTGGGCCTTCGACACTTCACGTCTTACAAGTACACCTAGCATGGCACAAGCACCATGTTGACGTCACCACCACTTCGTGGTGAATGGCGGTTGTTGTGAATGGGTATCGAGAAAGTGGGATAATCGCCATCTTTGCCTGTACGGTTTAAAGTGATGCCCAAACTTGGGCCACTTTCTCCGTGTGGAATGTGGAGTGTGTTCTACGCCCCCCCCCCCCCCCGGTTTATCCTGCATTGGTTTCCAAATTCAGAATAAATTATTTAGACTGGATGAAGAGGAATCCGATAAGCTATGAAGCTCTTCTTTCACAGATATGCAGTCGAGGCACAGGGTCAGCAAGTTACAACAACAAACAAAAGAAAATTAGTGCAATGTGTAAAAATGTAAGCAAGTCACAAAATAACTGAGAATAAAAATGAACCCGTAAAAACAAAGTTTTTCACTCTAAATCCTTTATATGCGTGGCGGCTCGAGTCCTCTCGTCCTCTCGTCCTCTGGCTTGAGATGGCTGCCACCTATGGGTCAGATGATTGTCTGCCACCATTAAGCATTTGGTAAATAAATATTTTTAAAAATTTCCCTAAACAGTGTAAAATTTTGTAAAAAAATTTTCACGAAAATTAATTGTCACGCACAACGAGTCTGTGTGCAAAATGTCAGCTCGATTGGATCACGGGAAGTGGGTTAAAAAACGACTGAAAGATTTGCACGGTTGTAAGCACGCAAGCAAGCAAGCAAGTGAACTTTATATAAAGGATTTAATAAGCACAAAGTACGTAAAATCCTGCCAGTTTTTCAACACTAAATACAAATTTAGGGGTTGTTACGGGAAGAAAGGCGGACAAACAAGGGTGTCTGGACCCACACACGGGTGTCTACATCCACGTCCGCATCGGTTAACCCTGGGGGGGCATGGGGGCGTTGTGATCCCCCATAGCCCCACCCCTCGGAGAGGATTCTTATAAAAGGCGGGGAGCCAGAGAGCTCGGGTCCAGTGTGTGAGAAGCTTACCAGGGAAGACTGAAGACTGGCAGAATAGGCCCTGGAACTCCCCTGGCTCGCTGTCCTTGTCAGGCCCGAGCAGGGCAAGCCAGTGGCGCGGCCCCAAGAACTCCAGGACCGCTGCTCTTGTAAGAGCACGGCCTGGTTAGCTGGGTGCCGGGATCCGTGCTTGACCAGGGCCGGATCAGATAGCCTCCCCTAGCACTCATAGCGGAGGACTGGGAATAGGACAGTCAGGGGATAGTGCTAGGGGTGTTTCCCATTGAGTACGGGTGAAGGGGCCGTTACCCCTTCAAGTAATGTTACCGCCTTTTGGTTAAATAAAAGAGTGTGCCTCAACTACGTCGTCTGTCTCCCTGAGAACTCACTACACTTGTATAAGTGTAGTGTATCGTGTCGTGTATAGTGTGTAGGTTAAACGTTGAGTTTTATAAGGGCACCACGGGGTGACCAGCCCCTCCCCACCCAGCCCCACCCCTCCCACCCCCACCCTCCCCTCCCCATATGCACGACAGACAATTAATCCCTGGTGGGCAGTGTGGAACCTGTTGTTCCTACCGGTATAACAGTGGGAAATATCTGAACCGGTCCTGGGCCTCCCATTGGTCGACTCAGCCTCAAATGAGTACCTGATGCAGTGTGTACATATCACCACGAGGGAGACAAATGCGTGGTGTTGGCCACCCACTCCCCTGTGTACTGTGCCAGTCCTCTGTAGGTCCTCACTAACACCACTTGCCTCAAAAATCTGTTAAGGCTATGAGGGGGGATCTTTGTCTTTGTACAGTGGCATTGGCTACGTATTAACTGATACTTTGCACGGAGTTTATGATACAGCATGGCCTATGTGTAACGCATCATATACCGTGTACACAGCACCATGAAAGTGTGTGCCGTATAATACAGAGTATGTGTAAAGGAGTATAGCCTGTGCACGCACTGCAGCGTTACTTTGAACTGAAACGTGGCATGGCCGTTATGTGTAGAACAGCATTTCTTGTGTATATGTAGTGGGTTCCCACGGAGACTGGAGACGTAGCTTAGAGGCAACACGGTTTATTTAAATCTTATAACAGAAGCCCCTTTTACTCCCACTACTTGGGGAGGTATGGCCTCCGGGCTAACGTGCCCTATCACTGGGGCTACGGGCTCTGAGTCCTCCGACTAAGGGTGGCCTCGGGGAGGCTATGCTGACCCGACCCAGCCAAGGTGCGGGTCTCGACCACTGGTCCGTGCTCGGCCCGGCCCAAAAAAGGACGTCGAGTCCCGGGGTCCAGGGTCCTAGCCTAGCTGGTCTTTAGTCTTCATCTTCAGAGCACTGCCTCGGGCCGTCCTGGGGTCCGTCTTTTATACCCACCTCAGGGACGCTCCACCCTCGGTACCGCCCCCTTTCTGGAACCTTCCAGGTGGCTCTGGAATAACCCCCCAACCCCTCACCTGTGGTCGGGGGGGAGGGGAACTCGGCCTCTCAACGGTCCCGGTTCTCACAGGGTGGTGTGTGCTTTGCATTTCCGATGCTACATATACAGCAAGAAATACTCTACATAGAGAGAGCATGGCATCTGTGTGTGTGTACTGCATGACACACGGTGTACGGTGTGTAATGCACAGTGATGGGCTGCTGCTGCACCTGTTGACGTTAATGTCGGGGCAGGCAGAGTCCTCGCTCCGGGTCCCGGTGGCGTTGCTCCGGGGGAACGTGCAGAAGAAGGCGTTGGCCAGGAGGCAGGCGGCCTGCTCCTGAGACATCGTCAGCATCAAGCCGGTGTCCCGGTGGAGCAGCGGCAGGGGCCGGGGACACGTGCGGTGCACAGGGCGCAGCGACGTTACACGCGGCAACGGGTGGCACGGGGTTGCAGAGAAGCAACGGCGCAATGGTAACACCGATGCAGAGCACTGAGCCTGCAGCACTGGGATGCTGGGGTCTGGATCAAGGAGTTCTGAAATGCACGGAAACCAGATGATTGTTGTACACGTGAGGTTAATGGTGCAGTCCTGTAATTACATGCTGATGCAACTGCTTGTGAAAGAACCCCCACTAGAGGGAGGTCTAGAGTGCTGATCCGGTGGGTATGTTTTAGCCAACTTTTCCACACTGACCATACGTCTTGAAAGAGGTGGGAGTACTCGCCATTTAGCCCACTGCACGCGACCCACCCATGGACTGTGGGTGGACAAAAACAGG